ATTACAACGGTCAGGCTAGCAAGGTTTACCCCCCTCCGGTGGTAACGCTGTAGCGCGCCCACCGGTGGTAACGCTACAGCGTTTGAAGCGTTACCCGGCGTTACCGCCCAAAACCTGCTCGGAGGCGCCCTTTTCAAAATTTTCGCTTCGGGAAAAAGTTGCGTTCGAAGCAAAAATGTAAGCCTTACAGCATCGAGCTGAAAGAGGCAATATCGAAGTCTCACGGACGCCTCCCTACTTCGAAATTGCGGGGTTTATGCCCCCTAAACCGGTCGATTTCGAAAACTAAAATTGTAGCTTTCTATTATTATTGAGGGCGGATGTGAGTGCAACACCGGACTGGCAACCCGGTGCAGCTTCGGCTGGCATGGGCACGGACCTCGAAAACTTAAACCTAATAGGGCGAGACGCCACTGTACATAGTAAAGTGACTTGGGCTGCGTTTAGGCCACTCGTGACTGGGCAGACTTGAGCAACATGTTTGTGTCGATCGCGGTTTGCACTGTAGTATACCTTCACCCACTTTTCAAGTCAATATGGCTTCTTAAAGCCTGATTGGTTAACAGTTAACAAGTTTTCGATTTTCACCTGGATCGATTTGAAAGTAAGGATCGGCATCGCTCAGTTCTCTCTTCTCCAACCGCTTTCCATCTCCAGGGTTGTCCTTCTACAAAGCATCTTCGAACGAACTGCCAAATGACCACCGCAAGCAAAAAAGGCGGTTGAGCTGCGCACTTGAATTTTGTTTTCTCATGGAAGCTTGACGTGAAATATATATTTTATTGAAATCGCTAACTTGCAATGTGCTTTGAGTCAGATTGATCACACGCGAGTCAGTCGAGTTGTCTCTACCGGAAGCGGTTTGCATGCAGGATTGTTCAAGACGCAATTCAACCTGGATGTCGGTTGAAAAGAACTTGCAATAGCGTGCTGTAGTGATTTGGCGCGAGCGCAAAATTTGACAGTGCCTCTAGTTCTGGCCGCGAAGCTAGTTGCCATGGCCCGCTCTTCTGACAAGAAGATGCCGCCCAAGCAAGCTGAGCGGAAGGGCAAAACAACGACCATACCCAAATACGCGCTCTTTGCAAAGGCTTCCCTCGCACCCTATCCCAGCGAGGATGGTGCGCCCTTGTGGCTGGGACACCATGAGAACTTGCAGGAGTTGTTGGATCTTGGGAATGTCTTCACGAGCCGCACAGCCAAGAATTCCGAAATGCTATCCCGCCCAGAAATGGCCATGAACCTGGCGGCCGCCGCCATTCATCATGGAGGCAATGATGTTGTGAAAAACGACATCAAGGAAGCACTTGCGAAAGTCACTGAACTCTTGAAAGAGGACTCTGGCAAAGCCTTGCTGGAAGCTTGCTCAGTGTTGAATGTTGGAAAAGATGGGACCGCATCTCGCGAAAAAGTCGAAAGAGCAGTGCACAAGTACGTGAAGTTCTTCACCAACGAGAAAAGCAAGAGAATGCGCGGCGCCCTGGTGGATTTGGTAGGGCATTCTGCTCGCATTTACCTGCTTTGCATGCATCTCCTGGAACAGCTTGCATTCTTTGCCAAGTTAGGGGGCTGGGCAAAAAAGTGGAGCCGCACAGACAAGCAGCCTTCAGCTATGAAACCATGGTTGAAAGAACCTGCTAAGGTTGCTCATCTAGAAGATGCATTGGTGTCTTTGATGATGGAAAAGATTCGCAAAGCTCAAGCAAAGAAAGAAGCACAAGATGAAACATCCAATAGTTCAGCTTCACCTGACACTGCGGCTTCTCGACACAGCAGCGTCTCAAAGAAGTCGCGGGACAAGGAAAGGAAGAGAAAACAGGAACGCAAAAAGGATGCCAAGGATAAGAAATCCCGGAAGCATTCCAAGAGCCCAAAGAACAAAAAGAAGAAGGCTCGATCTCGCAGCTGCAGCTCTGTCCCAAAATCCAAAAGGAGAAGATCAAGCTATGCTAGCCGATCAGACTCTGAGAAAAAACAATCACCTGGAGCGCATCCTGCTGCATCTGCTCTTCGGTTTGGAGACAGTGATCAAGAAACTACACCAGCTGATGAGGCTGTCCCTGAAGCTTTGGTGAATTGGGCATTGGCAGAAGCAAAGGAATTGTCGAAAGAGGTTGTTGCCGGGCTTGAAAACATTGATGACAAGTCAAAGAGGTTAAGCCTCCAGGCCGTCGTGGCTCTACTCGACAACTTACCTGACAACGTCCTTGAATTTGCCGGTCTGGTCGAAGCACGCTCAAGCCTTAAGGAGATGAAGCGCCTGCCTCGAAAAGAGAAGGTGGAGCCGTTGTTGGTGAAATTGCAAGAACTGGCTAGCGGTCGCATAGCGGCAGAACCTGCTGTAGCGGCAGACGCAACAAATTTCCCCAAGACAGTCAAAATTCACCGCATCGGCGCAGTGAGCGCCACAGGGCAGGCAGTTGTCAAGGAAGGGGACCCGGTTGATGAAGTTGACATTGCGGAGGGAGACACCGTGGAGGACATTGTCCTGAAGCTGTTCAAGGCACAGGGGTCTACAGAAGATCGAGGCAATTGGAAAGTGAAGGAGCTTAGCAAAGACAACACCTTGACCGACATCTCTTCCGATACCACTCCAGCGTCTGTTTGCCCCAACATCGCTCTGCTGCGAAAGGGTGGATAGCTTGACAGGTGCGCTTGTCTGTATATATCTTAGTTCCTTTGTGTCAGGCATCATTGGACAGAGATGCTTCTAGAATCAGTTTCCTTGGACAGCTAGCTTTCAACTGCTAGGTCATGGCTTGGCACAGGCAAGTTCTTGGTCAGATTTTCTTGTATATAGCTAAGTTCCTGTGTGTGAAAAGCCATTGGACAGCACTGCTTCTGGAAGCAGCCACCTTAGACAGCGCCATTGCAGTCAAAACGGTCCTTGGGCGTATTTGGGATTGCGTTCTTTCATTCAGCCACGAATTGATGTCTTTGGGTTTCACTAATGAACTTGTTGTTGTCCCCAAGCCAACTTAAAGCAATGCAATGTTTTTATATGGCCCAAAGTTTATCAAGACATCTTCAAACATTCGGCTGGGCGTTGCATCATGTCCATACCTTGGCAGCTGGTTTTTGATTTTCTTGATATTCCCACAGCAGCCCGCCTGAATGCCACTTCGACTAGCATGGTGACACTGGAAAATTGGCGGAGCTTGGACAAGCACTTGTGGGTTGCACAAGGACACGTGGATAGTTGGGATGTCACCTCCATGCCACGCGGCCATGGTCTTCTTGCCCTATCTTTTGCGCAGCACGCAAAGGATCTTTGGGTGGTGGCAAGCCGTCCTCTCTTTGCTTTGGCGGGGCGAGAGCTTGGGTGCCCCGGAATGCTGGAAAGGGCCTATGTGGAAGTGTATGTGCTTGGAGTAAATGGGTGCATTGAACTCTCAGATAGCTCTGTGCGTCAGAATGCGGGGTTGGATCCTGATCATCTCGCAGCTGAGCTTGGATACCTCCACCAATGGTTGGATGAGCGCGGGATCGGCGAAAATTTGCAGGACGCATTTCTTCAGTTGAATGAAGACAACCACCATGTGGACGAGTTGGTAACCTTGATGCATGCAAGTGATTGGTCTTTTCAGCTTTTTCCCGCGCAATTGAACGAAAACAACGAAGATGCAGTAGCGGTGCTTGAATTTGTGACCCATGGATTTACAGTGGTCATTGTACTCAGCGAAATTTTCGTTGACCCTTTTGGTTTCGTTCTATAGCGGTGTTTTTGCAAAGTCAAGACACGAGATGTATCGTGCAGCTGCGCTACCCTAAATTTGCAGAGGAAGCGCAATGGGGACAGATCAGAATCATCCGATGGCAATTTTAAAGGCAGCATCTTGCAGTTGCCGCTTTGGATGCATATGTACAGGCTTCCTTCCGACACGCCGCTGGCAAAAAGAAGAGAGTTATCTCGAGAATGCTGTCTTTTGTGAGGCTGGATGTTTGTCTGGTCTTGACGAAATGAAGCAATTGCGGTGTTAACTTGTCAGTGTGCATATCGTAGCCATTTCTCAGCTTACGATTTCTCTGGACGTACAACCCTCTTTGAGCAAAGGAAAATGCCTCGAGCGTGCCAAGGAACCATAGAAGGGGCTCGCTGCTGCTTTTCCCATTCTGGTGGACCGTCACAGCCGAAGCCAGGACAGAGCCGCTGTTCATGGTGCCTACCAGTATCAGATATCAAGACCGTTTGTTCTTCTGCGGGTGGAAGGGCGCGTTTAGCACAGCTGCTGCGTCGGATGCCAGAGGCTTCGTGCGACTTGGCGCGGCGCCGCCTGCCCGCGGACATCTACAACGCTTACTTTGTGGCGGAGTTTGGGCCACAAGACGACGATGTGAACGTTGACGTCGCAGAGACTTCTGATGTTGGTGTGTGCAGTGATAGTGGAATGGACAGTCCACTTGAAATCGCCAATGTGGAAGCTGATGCTGGAGATTTGCTTCATTCAGATGGCTGGTTGTTATCCTCTCCCCAGAACCAGGAGGCAGACAAGGACGAGGAAACAGATGCATCAGAGATTATACCACAAGATCGCGCTGAAATCGCCAAGAGAGAATGGGATGAAGAGCTTCCATCATATGCACCGGAACCCTTTGAGAATTCTGCTTCTGGAGATGAAATTGATTCGGCAGCAGAGCACATGAAGCGTCCAGCAGCACAGAATCAAAGGCAGAAGAAATGTTACGCCAGCCGAAAAAGCACGAAGAAGAAGCCAGCAGCACGCAAAGGCTTTCCCGGCGAACGCTGTCTTGGCAAAGACAACCATCCATGCGTCTTTTCGACTACTCAAGCTGGAATGCCTGCCACAATCCACTCCAAACGTGGACAGGTCCAATGCATGTTCTGCAGCTTGGTGACAATGGAAAAGGCACTTTCATCATCAAGGCCAAAAGTCATCCCAGTTCTGCGCAAATTGTTTGCATTGGACCATGCTCTTGGAGAGAAGGCACTGAACGAGATAGAAGTTTTGAAAGGAGCTGCTACTGCGCATGACTTCAGGATGAAATTGGGAAAAGCTATCCCAAAACACGAGTGGTCGGAATTGTTGGAAAATCGCAAGCTTGCACGAGCACCATTGGATGCAGGAGAAGTAGAGCAATATGATCGAGCTGTTCGACAAGATCGCCAGCGTGCAAGGCGAAAGGTGCTGTTGCCAGAATGCAAAGGCAAACACAGCACGCGAATTCAGGAAGCAGCTGAGATGGGTGAAGTCGAGAAGCGATTCGGTTCACTAGCTGATCTTGCTGAAAACGATGTTGGGCTGCCAGCGCCTGGAGATCCAATATCACGCATGGTTGAACAATGGTGCAAGCAAGGCTCTTGGGGAATATGTGAGCAATGCCGATCTCTCCAACCACTCCCTTTGCGGCCAATCGATTTGAAGCGATCCAGAAAGCCAACTATTTCTGCAAACATGTGCACGGCTTGTGCGCATGGTGAATACGTACCTTGTTTGGAGGACGTGCCAGTTGCTCTACGATCTTTGTCTCCAAGTGTCGTCACTGCCCTGCGGCCATTAGACATTGACACTGGTGCCCTTGAATGTTTAATTATGAAATGAATCAGCATTTTCAGTTATGTATTATCAGTTAAACTTACAGCTTGAAAATCGTCTATCACAAGAGTGATCTAGGCAGCAAAAGCATCAACATGTGACAAGGTGCTGCCATACGCGCTCCATATGGATACCAAGTGCACATGGGCATGATCAGCTTTGCTTGGTCTGCTATCAGCGTAGAAGCGAAAATCAAACAGCTGCCTTCAAAAGCAGACAGGCGCATGGCGCGGTCTGCTCTTGCTCATCTTCTAGACTGCCGGAACAGCGAATATTTCAACTTTCACCACAAGCACACGGAATTCTTACGGCGACATGGAGCACATGCAGATCATAAGCTCAGAAAGCGACCTCTTCGCTTCATTGAGCAAGAAGGCACGTGGGCATTAAAGAAAGAAACGCACTCTAACCGATGTATGTTGTGTGATACATATACCGAAGAAAATGAAACGTTGAATTTGTGTTCAACGCCTCAGGACTGGAATGCGCGCTGTGGCCCAATTTGTATTGGCACCGCAACCTGTGCGAAACTGTCTCTCGAGCATGCCATGAAATTCGACTCCGAAAGCGCAAGGCAGAAGATGAACCAGTTGAGTCGGAGACTGATTCAGAGGAGTTGGAGCAGCCAGACATCCGTTGTAGCAAGCTTGGAAGGATCAAGCGTGGATTTCTTCGAAAAGTATTCTCTCCACTGATCGGGTATGGGACAGACTACCAGCTGCTTCACTTTGTCTATGATCTCAGCATGTGGACAACCGTCGGCACCAAGAAGAATGTAGCTCGACGAGCTGACGTCCCTCTTCGTCTGGTGCTCAGCAGTTGCCCTTGGACGCCACAATATTGGCATGTCCGACACCGTGCAGTCATCGACATGCAACGACAGTGTGGAAACGCAAGTCTGTTCCGCACACGAGCTCCTTATGAGATGACCTTTCCTTATCATGAGTGGGTTATGCACGAACAGCGCACTGCTGGTCGCTCTCGCATGCATTTAGCCGGGGCGGAAACACTGCATATGGCACATGTATTGTTGGAATTAGACAAGGCCTTCATTTCGGGGTCTCGCAGAACATCAAGCCGAGAAGACCGATTATGGCAAGAACACCTGTTGGGCCCCAAGTGGTCAAAGGATGTGCAAACAGTCGCCAACAGAATGACGCGGCTGGAGTTCCAAGATGGGAAAAGGAAGAAAGTCGCGAGAAATTATCATGGGAGGGGCACAACACACAGCCACTCATTGGATTTTCTAAAGAACCTCAAGGAAATTGGGTTGGAACACAAAATCTCAGCACACTTGCCCAGCAAGGAAACGCATCCATTCCTACATGGATTGGTCATGGATGGCCAAAGAGATCGCTCAAGCTCCAAGCTTCCAGTGCGTCACCAAGACTCTGAATGGGACGAAGATACCCAGAAGGTTCTTTTGAAGCACACCAAAGAAGATCAGGATCTACATCTTCGAGCGTACTTTCCACAAACCATGGAAATCACCAAGTGCCATGAAGATGTGCAGCAACCAGATGGAAATGGAGCCGTGCTTCGCTACGTTGCCACATATGCCATGAAATTCAGTGATTCCATGGACAAAGAATGGCTCAACGATCATGCTTCAGATTACAGCGTCGCCCGACGCATTCTGTTTAGCTATCATCCGCTTGAGCCTGAAATGTGGCTATCGTTGGCACAAGAAAGGTTCCCACAAGTAGATTATAAGGGAACCTTAATTGACTTCTTCGTTCCTCTGCCAGGCGTTGAAGTCAAGCCTAAGCTACTCAAGAATTATGAAGAGGCTTCCTGGCGTGGCCGCAACATGTCCTTCCTCCAATTCCTCCGCAAATCTAATGCCAATGGTGGCATTCTTCGACACATCAAAGAAAAGCACGCGCAGCATGTGCAGGATGCTTTGACGCAAATGATGATTTCCAAAGGTTATTCGACCAAGGAAGCAGCCGCTCAAAGTTCGCAGCTGGTAAGGAGCTTCAAGCAACGAACTCGCGCTGGAGAAAATCTGGGCAGCTTGGTTGCTTTTGTCAAGCAAAAGTTTGGCGAGGCTCATGTTGTGGAACTCGAAAGATTTGCAAATGAATGCCAACCAGAAGGCGAAAAACTTGTCGCAGCTGGTATGTACAGTATGCTGAACGATCGGTATTATGGACAATGGCTCGTTTTACATCATCCATTCAAGCTTCTTGAAGACTTGACTTCCCAAATGGACGCCGTCCTTTCGCAGGTGCCAAACCATTATCGCTACTTCACAATGGCGTTGCAAGCAAATCCTCAGTTCTGGACAGATGACGTGGCCATTCGCCACCAAATGGAGCTTGAGGCGAACAGTCGGGCTATGGTCGAAAGCATCTTGAACAAGGTGAGGGCACAACGAAGTTTGATCAGGAGTTATCTGAACGGAGAATTGGCCCCTGGCGATGATATATCCCCCACGCAAAGTTCCACTGAACCTCGTGTTTCCGAAGTGGGGGCGAATCGTCCAAAGCTGACACTTTCTCAGAAAAAGCTTCGTGACATTATGAAGCCTCTAGTGCAGCGCTCGCTGGACGCAACGCGTGCTGTCGAGGAGGAAGAAATTGAAAGACTAGTAGCCGCAGCGACGGCGAGCAACAAGATGCTTTTTGCAAGTGGACCACCAGGAACAGGTAAAACTTTTGTCGTGCATCAGCAAATTCAGCGCTGGCAGAGTCGAGGAGCTCGCATTCTGTTCGCGCTTCCAACTGGGCAGCTTGCTGCAGAGATGCGCGCGAGGCATCCCAATGTCGACATCGACACCTACCATGGCGGGCTCTTGTTCCACAAGGAGCTCTCCGAAAGCTTGGGGATTTTCACGCAATACGATTTGATCGTGCTCGACGAGGCGCCAGCTACATAACGCTTTCTAATCACTGTTGTGTGTCCAGCCCTTAAATTTTGTTAAAGTAATCCTCCTTGCGGTCAGGTCTCCATGCTAACAGAAGAGCAGTTTGAAAGGGTTGTGGCAATGTGGGTGGCGTCAGATAGACTGCCTTGTCTATTGCTCGTGGGTGACTTCTGGCAGCTCCCCGTCGTGGATCGCAACGCGAAGCGCTGCGACGAAAGCATCCTATGGAAGGTGAATGTCAAAATCATCGACTTCAAAGAGCAAGTGCGATGCAAGGATTTGGCTTTGCGAGACAAACTATCTTTGTTGCGCACAGCACAACCAAACAAAAAGCAGCTGCGAGAAATATTGCGGAATCGACGCGCCTGGAAGAATCACGATCCAGATGGCTGGGACATCCTCAGTCTACTCCGACAGCACCCTGCGACCACCATCGTGACTTGCACGCGGAAGGCTTGTGCTCTGGTGAATGCTCTAGCTGTCAAAGTCTTGTTCGAAGATCGACACAAGAAGCCTTTGGGTTCCATCCTCATGGACTTCGAAGCAAACAGCGAAAACTACCTCGCTGACGGCTCCTTGAAATCAGGCACTTTGCTAGCAGCAAATGTGGCGGTCTACATTGGAGAAAGAATATTCTTAACCAGAAACCTTGACAAAGAAAATGGCTTCGTGAATGGGATGCCTGCTGTTGTGGAGGGATACGATGCTGATTGCCAGTGCCTACGCGTGGTCACAAAAGTAGGCAAGACATTGGCCATCTATTTGTACACCGAGGAGGTGCCAGGCCATGGTAATGTAACCTTTTTCCCTGTTCGTGTTGGCTACGCGGCAACGATCCAAAAGATCCAAGGAGCCACGCTACCCCACATCACCATATGGCTTGATCGGGCAGGATGTCGCGCGGCGGCTTACGTGGCTATGTCCCGAGTAGAACACGACGAGGACTATTTGATTGCAGGTAGTGTGCGCACCAATCACTTCATACCTGCACAATAAGATCAAGAGTGGCATCTTTAGCGCAATCTCTTAAAGACCAGGATAGCGCAGTCTCCTGTTGTACAGTGTGCAGCTGCTAGGTTCGTGAAAAAATGCTGCTGCTATTCAATCTTTGAATGCAAAGTTTGAAGCAATGATGAAATCGGCCTTTAAAGATTTAGTGCATAATAATGTTATGTTTGTCGATGTTTCAATTTCCTTACATGTGAAAAACGCAAAAGCTCATTCAAGCAAACTGAGACATAGCTTTGTCATAAAGCATCCACCCTCCAAGTGTAGCGTGGCTTTCCAGTGGCTCAAAAGCTAGTTTGTAAATTCTCGGTACCATGGCACATCTCCGCTGGGCAGACATGTTGGACTTTCCGGACATGGACTGGCCCACGTCGCCTCCAAAACGGGACGCTGCGGTGCAAACGGACGACACCACACTTCCAAGTCGCGAATTGAGCGACTGGCAGATTGCAGAATTCTATTCGCCGCACCGCGGACCGATCTCTCGTGATGCTAGTTGTGAAATTCTCAACTTTTTACATTACATCTTGGAGCTCATGCTAAACCCGTGGAACAGACAACTACGATGGCGATTGCGCCAGTGGCAAAATTCTCTACGGAGTCGCATGGCAAATTGCCGGCTTGGGTTTACGTATGCCTTTGCAGTATATGGCATTCGCTTTTAGACGATAGTTAAATTGCCGCTTGCAGCGCCAAGGCGCTCGCGCTTCGCCCCTGGCTGAAGACAGCTGGCGGTCGGCTTGCGCAGAGCCCCTTGATTAAACAATGTACAGTGTACAGCCACTGCAGTCACGAAAAAAAGGTGCACGGCATTTATGAGCACAAGTCCAGTTGAAACAATGTGACGGTTGTTAGCGTGCTACTTTTCTAGTTTAAATGACTGGTAGCTTGATCCATCAACTGAATAGACAATGACTTAAGTGCGACGCAAGAGGCTCACAAGTATATCTTTATATGCGTTAAGACACCTTTTTCTTTTGAAGATGTTATCTTGGTAAATCAATGGAGCAACAACACAAGTTGCAGCATTTGCTTGCTTAATAAACATGTTCACAAGGTGACAGCACATACCTCGGTATATACATCGCTTACCGTCAGCCACTTTCAGCTTACCTCAATAGCAAAAATTACCCGCGACTCTGCTTCACGAGCATGGCAAGCATTGATGTTTTGAGCTCTGGCGTTCTCTTGGCGATCTTCGACTATCTTCCAGCAGCCAACTCCGTGGCAGTGTGTCTAGCGAGTCTGGCAATGTCAAAACAACTGGCACCATGGAAAGCAAAAGTCGACGCGGCGGTTGAGGAAGCAAGACGAAACCTCGACGTTTTTGCCGAAGTAGGACTCCAATTGCCGACACTCTTGGAACCAACGCAGCCAAGCTACACTTTTGACTACCACGATCCGCACAACGGGCTTGTCCGCCTTTCACGGCGGGTCTACGGTCTGCCGGTGCACAAGTGCGGAAACTTACGCCGTTACTTGCACGACATGGGAATCACGCCCCTCGAGTGGCCAAGGTATTGCAACGATGGACGGGATGATGTACCAGAAGGTTTCGACGATGCCATCCAATGGCTCGAAAACCACCTAGCTGATCAAATATGGTTTCCAGCTTTGCACGCCCCCATGTTACCGTTATTGCAACGCCGCCGCTTTCAGTGGCCGCCGACAGGGCGCCGCTGTAATTTCCACGTGGTATACCTGGCGCTGGGCTATGTTGGTTGCATTGCGGTGTTTCACGAATTATTAGAAGATGACAGTTAAATTGCCGCTCGCAGCGCCAAGGCGCTCGTGCGTCGCCCCTGGCTGAAGACAGCTGGCGGTCGGCTTGCGCAGAGCCCCTTGATTAAACAATGTACAGTGTACAGCCACTGCAGTCACGACAAAAAGATGCACGGCGTTTATGAGCACAACTCCGGTCGAAACAATATGACGGTTGTGAGCGTGCTACTTTTCTAGTTTAAATGACTGGTAGCTTGATCCATCAACTAAATAGACAATGACTTAAGTGCGACGCTAGAGGCTCCCAAGTGTATCTTTACATGTGTTGAGACACATTTGTCTTTTGAAGATATTATCTTGGCAAGTCAATGGAGCAACAACACAAGTTGCAGCATTTGCTTGCTTAATAAGCATGTTCACAAGGTGACAGCACACACCTCGGTATATACATCGCTTACCGGCCGCCATTTTCAGCTTACCTCAATTGCAAAAATTACCCGCGTACTCTGCCTTACAAGCATGGCAAGCATTTTAGAGCTCTGGCGTTCTCTTGGCGATCTTCGACTACCTTCTGGTGTTTGTCCTTTTTTTTGACGCGATCTTCCGTGATTGCTATCCAAGCTCATGCTTTTTGTTTCTTGAAGCAAGACAATACCGGGGGCTCTGGTATACTACTGTATTGGTACTACTATTTTTTTAAGCACTAAAGAAACGTGATTTTTGTCATCACGTATATTCACAAACTTATGCTATTCGGTAAGAACCAGATAAATGAAAAACAAAAAAAGCATTTTTGAATCATCCGCGAAGCATGCACAGAAAAACAGTCATCCCAAAAGAACATATCAACGGCTATTTTCCATATCCCCACAACACGTCACCTCCATACCCCAAGCCCGCGCGGGTTCCGACGCGAGCGAACACCCGCAGGGTAGAGCGAGCGTCGAACGCGCGAATCGAACATCAAAGCGTGAATCGATGTTCGATTCATACGGTTTATTCACATTGTGTTCTCCAGCTTTGTGTTCTTGAAACGTCGGGTGTGGGAAAAGCACCACCAGGCTTTCCCAAGCTAAACCGTCGAACCACGGGTTACTGTATATTCATTAGCAAGTTTTGCATTACTCAATTCCTTAGATTTGTAGCATAAAAATACATATCCATCAAACATTCAACCAATTTTTGATCAAACCTCACGCGCGTGAATCCAGCAAGCCGCCAAGGTCAGACCAGAAACCCCGAACACCAAAATACCAAAAATACAGTTTTTCCAGCATAGGAGGTAAACCCAATTCTGCTGTTCGAGTTGGATGAGGAACGGGGCTTCATGAGGCTTACACACCACTGGTGTGACTCCAGTAATCCGCCAAGGTCAAACCCAAAACCCTGAACACAAAAACAAACAAACATTTTTCAATCATAGGGGTAAACCCATTTCTGCCATTCGAGTTTGGTAGGGGCCGGATCAATTTCATCAAAACGATGTCAAACCCCTTTCAAGGGGGGTAAGCCCATGGGACCCCCTAAACCATCGAGCTTGGGAAAGGCTTCAGAAGGATGACGCCCTGACGGATCACTTGAACCAGACAAAACCAAAAATCCAGTTTTTCAAGCATGGGGGGAAACCCAATTCTGCTGTTCGAGTTTGATAGGGAACGGACCAATTTTCATC